GAGAAGGTTGCTCTAGGATAGTTCCGAGTTCTTCATGTTCCCTCCGCGTACCAATTCGCAGACATCATGACCAAGGGTCTACCCGTCCAGCTCTTCACTGATTTCCAGACCAGTCTGTGCGTCCGTGATTCTACCGCTGCGACTGAGAGCGGGTATTAGGATATGTATATATCAAGATCATTAGAGAGATCCCCTAGATAGGCTAGTTGCTATGTATAGCCTAGTTTCCTTACATTAGGATAGCTTCCTTATACAGGTAATAGCCTCCTATATTTGTACTTGCCATGTGTGCCTAATTGGCCCTATATATGAAAGGCTCCCCACCCACATTGGGTGTATGGTGATTCCCTCTATTCTACACCGAGTAGTGAGTACCGACCTCTTGCTGCTCAACCACTGTGGCATCATAGTGAGCTGGGATACGGGTTGGGTAGCTTGGGCCTGATCGGCTGGTATTAAAGCCGGCTGATAAGCCGCCTGAAGCTATTTTATTGTGAGAGAAAAATACTGTAGATTCTAGCTGATAAACCGGCTGATAAGTTCAAGCGAACAGACCCGAATGCCCGAGCTGCACCAGCTGCTCACTTCCTCGGCCTGGAGTCCAAGACTACCGACAAGGCGACGAGTCAAGATGGTGAGAACTTGAGATGCCCTCTCCTGAAAAAAAGGAAGGATTTCAGAGATAGGGATGCTCATGATTAGGCCAAACACCCTTTGTGCATTACTAGAAAATTTGAAGGTTAGAAAGTATGGGAAGGAACGGCATACCTGTAACAATGCTCTCTGTCTCTTTTTCCTTCCCATTTCCATCCTTTAGACCAAAGACAACATATCAAGCATATGCTTGGAACAAAGCCTTCACATCTCTTTTCGCTTCTCAGGCCAACCGTATTAGTCTATCGAGCGTATGCTTGAAACGAAGTCCTTTGTGTTTCTTTTTCCTGCAGTTCTTTCTTTCAGACCAACAATGCTGCATTTCAAAGAATAAAGCCATAATCTGACACATATGAGAATCAGGCAACACATGTACTTAGTCAATCATATATGACACAAGTGGTGCAGAGTAAACATGTGGACAGGTTGACACCCCACTTATTCACGTATGCACAGGTTGCCAGACTATGGTCTCTCTTTCGGCCTCTTGAGCCAGCTTGTGTTTGTTTAACATCGTGTCGTGCCCCTGAAGAAACTCCTACCCATAATCCTACAGTAGGATCAAATCTAAACCAAACACTTCAAGGGTTCTGCATATAATTCTTTTACTGCAACTGTCCGATTATACATCTAGCTAATGTTTGTTTATCAACTAATAGTCATTTCATTTACCCTTTTCATTCCTCAAAAACGAACCCAGCTTCATCAATGCCATAATAGACTAGTCCATGTCCATGAGTAATCTTGTCCAATTTGACCAGTGTTTGATTGATCAATGAAAAGCTGCAATCCATCAGACAAAAATTGATAGGTGCTTGAACTGAAGACTGAACCCATCGCATATCTTGAGTTTCCCATGTATACCCTTTGTCCCATTGATAGGTGTTCGCTGCAGCTTTAAAGCTGCAGTCGCTGGCCGCCGCAGCTGTTTACCTCATGGGGTGTTTACTAGTACTGTAGATAGTTGAATAGCTACAGCGACTGCGGCTTAAAGCACAAGCGAACATATCTAAGTATGAAATCCAAAATCATAGCTGTTTTTTTTTTGTATCAGCAGTATCATGACATGTATAACACTGAGAGAAAACGCATCATGTACTGAACCATTGCAAGATAAGTATAACTGAAGGTGCAGCAGAATAATCAGGGGACCCCAAACCATAGAATTCCAGTTTTTTAAATATGAAACATAAACGGGCAATTATACTTCACAGAATAGGCTATGAAACACTTAGCTTTTACTCCCTCCATCCCAAAAAGAATGCAATTCTAGACCTAGTATAATTCAAAATATTTGAAGTTTGACTAAGTTTATAGAAATTGTAAACAGTTATGATTCTAAATAGATATACCATAAAAATATATTACACGATGAATCTAATGATACTAGTTTGATATCATAAATATTAGTACTTTTTTTTCCTAAAAATTGGACAAGCAGAAGATGGATTGACTAAGAACTATAGCTACAATTGCATTCTCTTTGGGAAGGAGGGACTAAGCTACAAGCGAAAACACTCAAACATAGTTCCTTGTTCTTAGGAAACGAAGTTTCAGAGCCACCCTGAACCAATTATTCTTGTTGACTGGCACTGCACCGATCTCTACTTTGTAGTTATATCAATGAAAGAGCACAGAGAACACATGAATTTGTTTTCAACCGTGCAAGCAAAAGCATATGAAAAGGGGAACATGCTATGACACCTACAGTAACAGTAAATGTCAATCACCCAGCTTTCAAGGTATGTTCTGGGCTCCACAAAAATGACTAGCTCTTTGTGATATTCACATAAAAATGTGTAGTACAAGGCCAGTACATGATGCTCGAGTGCATGTGAAAACTGAAAAGGCCTTATATTTCGTGTCAGACTTAGCAGTTTGCCAATCTTCAAATTCCACGGGGAAAAAGACAGTGTAGTAAACAATATAGTATTACATGGTCCTTCCCTGAACGACATACGAGAGCTGCATGTCATTTCATAAAAAAAGAAAAAAATATACAAACTGCACACGGGAAAAAAAGAGGCTAAAGAAAGCCCCTCCCAAATACACAACACACACTCGAGACAAACAGACGGGCTAAGCAAAGGGACAACACCACCACAACCAGCCCACCTCCGACCACCATCAAGTAAATCCCACGACCCTGAACTAACTCTTTTAGTGGCAGAAATAGTAATTCGAGTAAAAAGACGCAGGAATAATTTCTTCTAATACCTGCTGAAATAAAAATACAGAACAGCGGAACATCCAGAGAAACCATTTTGCTCTAGTCTTCAAGCATCCTGAAAAGAAGAATTTCCAGAAATGTCAGTTATAAAGCAGGCTCTTCACTAACATTACAGTGAAAGTTCGTAGGAACTGACTCTATTCTTGACTTCTGAAGATCGCAATAGAAGCTATGTTTACTTTTTTCCACCCCTCATTCTGACATCTGCTTCATTCCAGAAAAAACAATCTTGTCCCAGCTGAATGCCACCTGATACCCACCGCATGACCCTCATCTTGCAAATAAAACTAATAAACACTAATGATCCTATATTTTTCGAGCCCTATTTTGCCATACCTCGTTTTTATCTGCAGCACAAGATCCCAAAGGATGCGTTGTTAAAACTTCTATCAGAAGCTAACTACACAAAATAGACCCAAGATTAATCTGATTCAAGGAAACAATGCATCAATTGTGCAACATTATTACTGCAGTACAGGCAGTAAATAAAGTAGTAATGAAGCCGACACATGGAACATATTGAACTTTGACAGCAGCTTACAACAGATTAATCTGATTGAAGGGAAGGGTATACTGATTCCTTTCACAAAACAAAACCATGTTGCACCTTAACTATATAGTTTTTTTTTATACTGCTACCTGGTAAGTTTCTCTCTGTTAGGTGAGAAATTCATGTTCTTCAGAGTATAAATATCTCATAAGATATACAACAACAACAAAGCCTTTAGATATCTCATAAGATATAAAGGGCGTACCCAGTGCAAAGAGCTCCCGCTCTGTGCGGGGTCTGGGGAAGGGTGTCAGTGGCAAGCCTTACCCTCGCCTGTGCAATGCGAGGAGACTGCGACTCGAACCCGGGACCTTCCGGTCACAGGCGGTAAGACTCTACCGCTTGCACCAGGCCCGCCCTTCATATCTCATAAGATATAACCATACTTAATTGTACAAAACAAGTGCTCCCTCCAATTTTGTGCTCACGAATTTGCAAACAAAACCGATGGAAGTTTCACACTTCAGACCTAATAATACTGAAGAATCATTTGGTGTGAAACATTAAATACTGAGGCCACTTTTAGAAAGTAAGCTTTGAGGATTGAGGGTATGATGTAAAAGTACGTCTACGCACATGCACAATAGACTGCACTAGAGACTGCTACTGCCTACCTTGGTCAATATATCATGCCACTATCAATCATCTAAGTGAAAGCCTCAGTTAGATTCATTCTTATGAGCTCATACCACAATCTGTAAGATAAGAACCACAAAACAATGCTGCTTCAATGGAGCCTAAACAGCTAAAAACAAAATTGAACAGGGTAGAGTAGAGCATCTGCCAGATATATTACAAATCACAAGTTAAAGTGTGGAACACTATTTTAAGAGACTAAACAGCTAAATAATAAATACTTCAACTCACCAGAATACCATATACCATAACAGCAAAGCAGTGTTATTTCACCTTGTCAAACTATAAGTGCTTCCTGAATTAATGTTGGATGGATCCTCGTGCATCAATCACCAAGAATGGCAATGCATCAGTGTCATGTCATTCATCATATTGTAAGCTCAGAAGGGGAAATGACGCATAAAATTCAAAGGGTGTGGGAGACTACTTCTGAGACACATCTCTTACCCTGGTCAGGTCACTGAAAAAGAGCTAAAGTAATGTGGATCTTACATGGTGAGTATTTTTAAAATACATTGCCCTAATGTAACATGGTAGAAACTTTCTTATCAATTGAATAGACTTTTTTTCTCCCTTAACAAAATGATACACAACTCTCTTGTGTGTTTTAGAAAAAGAAATGAACAAACTATATTTAATGAAGCTTTCTGATTTATGCAAACACAAGAGAAACAGGTTCGACCATTGCAATTTCAATTGGTTTCAATCATCATAAGGCATTATGAAGGCAGCACTTTCTCTATTCACTTACAGCTCCGAGGACACTAGGAACAAGACACATATTAGGCAGAATATACCCCCATACAACCCATACTGGTAACTGCCTAGCCTTATTGCAGCACCAGGCACTGATGAGTGATGACTAACGCCCATTAACAAAAAGGCAATAATTGCTAAGGGCTGCTGGGAATTAACACTGTAAGCACCTCCTTATTCTTTATCATCATGGCTATAATCACTGACATCACATTCAATCTCATCATCTTCACTATTCTCCACAACATGTGCAAGGGAATAGGCTTGCAGCTTCTTAAAACTGCTTATAAAGTCAGTTGCTTCTGAGAAGAGAGCATTTTTAGCGGCCTTCAGACTACCAGCTTTCTGCTCAGAAAGAACCTTCTCAGAATCAGCAGCTTTAGAGCCTGGAGTCCTTTTGTGAGGCCTTTTTGTGTATTCTCTACGTGACAATTGATCAATGTACTTCTCATGTAAGATAACATTCTTTATAGGCTTTAGAACTTCTGGGCTCGGTTCAGATGGCTTAGTTCTTAACCTTGAAAATGGTTTCTTTCGTGCTGAAGAGCTTCCACTGCATTTGCCTAGAGAACCTGAATTCGTATAACTGTCAGGGGTCCCATGAGAATCTTCAAAAGATAAGTTCAATTGTAAGGCACTTGGTGAGCTTTCAAAAACTGAGAAGTGATCAGCCTCTTGAGCTTGGTCAATGACACAATGCTTCTGCAACAAATGCCTCACTGTCTTCTGTGCTGCTAGACCCTTCTGTTTAGCGGTCCTTTGCCTTGCAACTCTAGGTTCCAAGAGATTTGGAAGTTTTGTATCAGACAATGTGAAATTTCCTATAGGAGAAAATGTTGTTTTACTTGTTCTGGGACGTGGGGCTATTGGAGTTGGTGTTGTGAGGTCAGCATGAATTCTGTTGAAGCAGTCTTCAGCAGATCTCCCTGGCACCTGAAAAGAGTTGTGTCAAAAATCACTGAGCTAATAAATGACAAAGGTAGAATTTCAAATATGGAAAAAGAAATATGCCAAACAAGAAACAGGACCTACCATTAAAATATTCCGGTGAAATACAAAAAAAAATCAACTAACACTATGAAACTTCAGGTTACTTTGATTGTTGATTTGAGCCCCAAGCTATACATCTTTTTTTAGATGTTTTATTATTTGAATCTGTCTAATCATACCCCATACCCTTTTATCAACAGAACTAGTAAATCTGTGGACTACTAAAACAAAAGAATGAACTGTTATTGAAACTTAATGATGTATGAGGATATTGTTTTCACTAAAATGATGCATTAGAATCTTTGTATATGCCAGAAGAAAGGAACCAAATTCGTCAGCACAAAGCTGTTAAGTATATCAAGGGCTATACCTATGCAGACTCATGTATATTGCAATCTTCCCTAAGGGAAATTATCTACTCAAATCCTCAAGGTTAGTAACAAACAAGGCCAGTCGATATTTAATGACTTTATTACCTTTCAGCTAGAATCTTCATGTAACACCCATATCATAGATATAATTATAAAACTTTGATAGTAAAAAAGGATTGATCAAACAAAATAACTTGTGAACAACCATCTGCACTGGGATCCGTTTCTGAAAAGTGCAGAAACATTTTTGGCCACAATACTTCAGTATTCTCATCCTTTTTCATGTAATATATAACAAATATTTCTTTGATCAGCTCTTTGCAACTTACAAGAAATGAAAGAACCACTAAAGCAAATGATGTAAAGACTGAATACCATTTTTGAAACTCTCTTCCAGAAATGTGGGGATGGTCGGGCAGTGAAGTAAGCTTTGCGCAATGCCATGTCCTGCTCTTTCGTCCAATCATCAGAACTACAAAAATTTTCCACTCCTTCTCTTTCAGTCCCACTTGGTTTGCTGATGTTTTCATCAATGTTTGTCAATTCCTCATCACTACTTTTAGGCTTCACCACAACAGAAGGTTCCTTTTCAATCCTTCTGTGGGTAGATTTTCTGGGTTCATCACAAGGTGCAATTTCTTGGCGATTTATTGGCAATGGTTTTGGCTCTTGGCAACTTTGCTTCTTCGATGGCAACCTCCTTTTTGTGCCTCTCTTCCTCTTTCCTGTCAACACTTTACAATTAGTGGGCATTAGCTCTTTCTTCTCACTCTTTTTGTTAGATACATCTGCAATATTTTTCCTGGGGGTGATGCCTCGGGGATCTTGACAAAGTAACTGGGGCTCATTCTGCCTTTTCATCCTTGCCAAAGGCTCCAATCCAGCATTTCTCCTATCACTTTTCAGACTCTCTTGATTTTTGTCTTTCAAACGAGCACTTTTACTCTTTCTGTTAGGAGGGGTCTCCAGGCGATTTGGTGGCAACAACGGCTTGCCCAAAGTCTTATCTTGCACATGAAACCGTGGGGATCTGCGGAGAACCATAATTGCTGATTGCTCAGCGCTGACCTTACATTCCTACAAGAGGGAGTGCAAATTATAACGCTATTTCTCATAAGCTATAAATGAAGTGTGAACTGAATCAAGCTTTCAAAGTAACAAACATGATAACATTCAGGAATGAAATACATGGAATTGATAGGAAAAAATATAGAAGTCAAGCAAGAGCAGCTCATACCTCGTTTACTTCATTGTCTATCATGATTGGATGCTCAGAATCTCTTCCATCGAGCCGCAGCAACTGCCGTACAGCTCTACTGTGGCAACCTCTCACTGTCTTCTTGAGGGAAGCCTGCTTCTTCAATGTTTGGAGATCCTCTTCCTCCCCCATGTTATTGGTCTGGGAAGGGAGCCTCTGCATGGGAAAACTTTGAGGGGTCGTGTGGTGAGAGCGCAGCCGCCCCTTCCATGCCGTCCCGCCAGCAGCCAGGGTGGAGAGTTCCTGGTTGATAGTAGTGGATCCAGAAATAATTTTAGGAGTGAGGGCAATAGCAATAGCAATGATAAAGCATGGTAGATTTGAAATCCTAGTAAGGCCTTGTTTGATGCGCATGTATTCGTATCGATCCACATGTGTTGAAATGAATTGGGGTGGAATTGAATAAAATTCCATTCCATTCAACTTCAACATGTGTACTGAGTGGATACATATACAACCAAACAAGATCTAAGAAACTGAACATCACAACTAGACTAGTAGAAGCTAAAATAACACGACGATGCCAAAATGTACTACGGCTTAAAAATTTGAAGCATTTCAAAAGGTGAGGGGAATCTGATATGAAAACAGGTAAATAGATACGGAGTCAGCAAGATGAGATTGAGGGGGGAATCGTTCGGCTCACCGCAACAGCTGGCCCCCCCGCCCTCATGATACTGCACCCCCGCCCCAGGCTACACCCTCCGCCGGTCAACCGACGGCTGGCGACCGCGCAGCAGGATGCGGCGGCGCGGCGACCAAGACCCGCCGCCCGGGTTAGCACTCTGCGGAACCCGCTGGTAGCGTCGCGCCCCGGCGATTGTCAGATCTGCCGGTAGCCTGCCGCGGGCCGCGGCGCTGCTCCTGCTCCGCTTGAACGCTGCCGTAAGGTCAAGAACTGATGAAGATGAACGGCTAGCGAAGGATACCAATTCAAATTATGAAATCGAACCGGCGTGCCGCGTGCGTCGGGCGTACGTGTGTGGGGAAGAAAGCGGGCGGGCATGGGGCAAGAAAGAAGAGAGAAGGAAAAGGAAAAGAAAAGAGAGAGAGAAAAAAGGCATAATAATTATTTTGTTCTTTTTGAAGCTGTTTTGCCAATTATTTTTCAGCAATTGAAACTGCTCAACCAAATCCACCGAAGCAGCTGTGAGTGGAGCCATTTTAGCTGAACCAAGAGTTGTACCAAACGGAGAAATCAGACTTCACGCCACCGCTGGCCGGATCGTGGATTATTACCGCTGACTGGTTGGGTACGAGAGAAAAATATTATTCTAACAAAAAGACACTGTTGATATAAATAGACATCGCCAGAAGAGAACTAAATAAAGACCAAAATTTCAACACTAACAAATGCAAATAACTCGGTTCGACACGAGCACATAAACAAATAGAAAAAAAAAATCCTTTCATATAGCACGGACTGCCAGCCTTGCATAGGAGGGAAAGCTAAGAAAGAGAAATTATATTTTTAAATCGTTGTAAAGCTGTGCACACTGTAGCCATCGAACCGTCAAAATGCAAACCGAATGCTGCTGTCACGGTTCGAATGCTATGCTGGAGTTGCCATAAGAGCGAGCGGACTGTATGCTGAGTGAATTTGAGAAGTGGTGAGAAGAGAAGCAGACTTTAAGTTTACATTCGGCTTATGACCCTGTTTGGTTTACTGAAATTTAACTAAAACTGACTAAAAACACTGTTCTGGCTGAATTGTTGTGAGAAAAAAATATAATTTTAGCTGAAAAAAAAGCCGAACAAGTCGGCTTCTGGGTAAGCCGAACATAGCTTATATACAGGAACCAAGAAATTTTGTAGGCAGATAAATGGACTATAAGTAGGTTAACTATTATACAAGTGGACTGATAGATTAACTATAGATTTGCATACAACCAGCAGTTAGTTGTATTATTAACCTTGATCTAAGAGCTCAATTGCTTTAGCAACTCCAGAGTCTCTTTATATTTTTTTTATAGTTAGGAATAGTTTTTGTAAAAAAAAAGTACTTCCAACAATATCTATACTAGATCTTCAAATATTATCATCCTCAGCGATGCCGAATTTCTCGCTAGCAAAAAATAAATAATAAGCGTGATTGTTTCTCTAAAACATGTATAAGGTATAGAAAATTTATTGGAGGATGATAAAATAATATAGAGAGCAAAAAACATCCCCGCTGAGAGACCTCCCTTACATCCACCAGAAGAATATACCTAGAAAAATAACAACTTTAAAACAAACCGTTTAGATTAACTTAAAATCTTCTGAAGGGTCGAGATAGCAACTAGAGGAGGTGAATAGTTGTTTCTAAAACTTAATCGCATCGGCTAACCAAAACAAGTGCAAAATTAAAATTATCGGTCTAGTCAAGACTATACCCCTCTATCTATGTTCTCTAGCACCTTACAAAGATCCTAATTAAGCAACAAAGGTGACGGGCTAACTAGAGCTCACCTAATCAATTCTAGAGCAAGGTCACACAAACATACGCCGCTAGTATTTCAAGCAATGAGGGAGCTCCTACACATGCTAGTAAGCAAAAACACAAATCCAACTAAATTCACTAGCAATGCTCAATAACAAGGCAACCAATGTCAAATTAGATAGCGCAAATACTTAGCTACACAAACTAAGCAAAGTGACTAATAAGGTTACACAAACTAAATTAGCCAAGCAAGGGAGCTACTTCTATGCCACACAAGCAAGAAGGTAACTAGTGAGCTACACAAGCTAACTAATTACAAGAGCAACTACACAAGCACAATGTATATAAAAGTAATCACAAGCTTGTGTAAGGGGATTGCAAATGAACGGGAAGAACAAGGTTGACACGGTGATTTTCTCCTGAGGTTCACGTGCTTGCCAACACGCTACGTCCCCGTTGTGTCGACCGCTCACTTGGTGGTTCGGCGGCTAATTGGCATCACCCGTCAAGCCCGCACGTCGGGCACCGCAAGAATCTACCCCGAAAGTGAGGGTAGCTCAATGACACGGTCAACTAGAGTTGCTCTTTGCGGCTCCCGCGGGACGAGCACAACGCCCCTCACAAAGCTCTTCTCCGGAGCACCGCACAAGCTTCTTGCGCGCTTTGACGGAGACCATCACCAAGTTGTCTAGGAGGTGGCAACCTCCAAGAGTAACAAGCACCACTGGCTTGCAACTCGATCACCTAGTACCACTCGATACAATCTCACAATGCAACGCACTAGAATCACACTCACTCGTAATCAATTCGCATTTTTGCTAGCACAAGTGAGTTAGATGGCATCAAGCACTCCTACACAAGCCACATAGGCGTAAGGGTGCTAAGCAACTAGCCCAAGGCCGGCCACACACTCCTTTTATAGCCCCAAGGGCTAAAATAGCTGTTACCCCTTCACTGGGCAAAGCGCGTACTGATCGGACGCGCAGGTCATAACGACCGAATGCTGGAACCTAGCGTCCGGTCACTTACAGAGATGTTCCAACGACGTTTTTCAGCGACCGGACGCGTCCGGTCATCACTGACCGAACTCTCCCAGCGTCCGGTCGCTTCTGGACACGCTAAAAACATTGACCGGACGCTGTGACCGGACTCGCAGGTGCTGACCGAACGCTGGACCCCAGCGTCCGGTCGTTTTTCACGCCAGCGTCCGGTCACAGACCTTTCAGCGCTAAAACGGCTATAACTCTTTGCTCCGAACTCCGATTTCGATGATCTTGGACATTTTGGAAAGCTTACTCAGAGGGCTACACATCCCACATGCATACTTGATCCAAATCACAATGGATCAAAATAGTATTCTAATCCAAGGACCATCCTATAGTTCGGAGTACATCGAAAAATCTTTTTCTCTTCTCTAAGTTGATTCACAACAGCTCTAACTTCTTCTCCTCTGCAAATGTGCGAACACCACTATGTGTATGTGTGTTAGCTTTTCACAAATATTTTCCAAAGGATTAGCCACTCAACTTGCCACGCCACTCGATCCTAGCGATGATGCAAAGTTAGATCACTCGAGTGGCACTAGATGACTGATATGCAAACAAGTTTGCCCCTCTTGATAGTACGGTCATCTATCCTAAACCCGGTCATTAACTTCTCTACACACCTATGACCGGTGAAATGAAATGCCCTAGGTTATACCTTTGCCTTGCGCATTTCATTCCATCTCCTCCAATGTCAATGCAACACATGCACCAACATGATCAACAATGATATGATCCACTTCATATCATCACGTAATCATATTGGTTCATCGATCTTGACTTCACTTGCTTTTCACCGTTGCCTTCGTCCATCGGCGCCAAGTCTTGCTCAAGCTTCACCGCCACGTGGTCCATCGCTCCAAAGCCTCCGACTTGCCCTTCACGCTTGCAACCGGTCCATCAAGCCAAGTCTTATCTTGATCTTCTCCACCTTGATTACATGACTCAATGCCATGTCTCATGTGCAATAAGCTCCTTCATCATCACATGTGTGAGCTTTGCAACATCTCCAAACCATTTTCACCTTCACGGCATATGTTGCTCACACACATGTACTTATGGACTAATCACTTGTGTATCTCACATAAACACAATTAGTCCACCTAGGGTTGTCACTCAATTACTAAAACCACACAAGGATCTTTCACCTTCTCTCTCCTTACTCGCTCAAATGCAACGGTAAGACTGTCTCCAACAAGGAACCCATATGGGCACCTAAATCCAAAATAGGTAGCAAGAGACATAAAATCAGCCTCCAACAAAGTATCTATACGGGAGACCTATTTTGGGTTGCTTGAGAGGCACAACCCAAATATATGCATCCTCTCTCCTGGAAACCCATTTGTAGAAAGGATTCTCTTTTGGGTCATGTTGTTGGAGAAGATACCGAATAGGTATTGAACCTTTTGCCTGTAACGCTACCCAAAGGACGAATGGATCTTGTATTTTATGTGTTATTGTTGGAGATAGCCTAAAGATTTAGTGTGTCAACCTCAACGAACCATCCGCGCGACTTCCTCCGTACACCCGTGATCTGGGTTTGATTTCCACCTCCACGTTGTTTTTCTTTCTTTTTTTCCAAAAAGACAAAAGCTCAATGCGAGCCAGGGTCAGGAGACGGCGACAGTGCCTCCACGCGTAGGAGCCTAGGGTTTGGGCGAAGGGCGCGGAGCCGCCGGGAGGCAGGCCGGCCGTGC